AAACAATTTATTAATTTTAAGTGGCCTTAGGAGAACTGACAGGGATCATATTTATACTTTTACATTTAGCTGTTTAATCTGCTGTTAGTTTTAAGTCCGTATTCACAGACTATAGCCTGCCCTGCTATAATGAATGTGCGTCAAAACGGTAAAAAAAAAAACCCCACTAGAATTAACGTTAACTGTTGTCGTTACTTTGATGGATTCACTAGCGAACTTGAAGTGACTTACACTTTTCTTTGAAAAAAAGCTCCTTATGTCCAGCTTCTTTTTTTTTACAACAGATGTTCATATGAACCACGTGACGATCAAACATTTTGAACTTCCGTTGACGCAACACTCACCTCCGTCTGGTGCGGTCCTAATTGGAAGACGCATGCGCGAGAACTCGTCTACTTCGTGCGAGAATTGTTACTGTTCCATTCCCAATCCCGATCTAGACAACGCGTGCGCGAGAATAGTTGTCAAGTTTTTAACTGCTGAGAAGAGGTTTAGGTCGTGTATTATGTTTGAAAGTCGTTTGTTTCCCCTTTAGAGACGCCGATTTCAAACAATGAAACTCTCCCGGGCAGAATATCGTGTAATAGCAAAATATACAGACCAACTTAAACCTACACGTCATTGTATGAAGATGCTTCAGGAAAGATTCCCCGGGTACCTTGCAAGTTCTTTTTGAAATTATAGCGTATTTTATTTCTTTTATTATTAAAATAATTGTAGCACTTCATAGTGATCAACAGTCTGATTGCTGGCCCAGATTAACAATATATATGGGCATTTTAATATTATCATCATGAATCGTCAGCTGTGGTTGGTAAAATGTTATACTACTTTATTTACGAAACAACATATTTGGATTATGTATTCATGAAATGTGTACATACAATCAACTATTTTGTAAATATATTTTCAAGTCTACTGTGCAAGTTCATGTCTTGAAATTGCACCATAACCAGCGATATTAATGTTCTAGCCTAAAATAGCGTTGGAAACCCCAAGTCGGTCAGTCGCTCGCTGTTTTCGAAGTACCTTGCAGGATTTGTTTCTCTGTATTACATTCTAGTAATATCACCTATTCACCCCTCAGTTATTTGCCCTCCACCCTGCTGAGCATCTTCTCTCTGGAGTACCAGGTCAGTAATTTTGTCATGTCCAGGACCTGATTTAAAGATAATTGTCTCTATGAATTTGTAATTGAACTGGTGGTTCTGATTCATACGGAGTATTTTCAGACTAGGATCACAATTAATGCTAGATTTCTGTGAGGTATTGTCTTCCTTTATAGATTTACCTAAAACTTATTATGCCAAAACTATCCGTCCATCCATTTTCTGTAACTGCTTGGCTTATTCAGGGTTACGGGGGGGATTGGGGGTGAGGAACCTATGCCAGAAGCTACAGGCACAAAGCAGGGAACAATCTAGGATGGGGCTGCAACTCATCGCAGGGCACACACACACTCCAGTCACACATACATGCATATCTACAGGCAATTTGGTAACTCCAATTAACCTCAGTGTGTTTTTGGACTGTGGGGGGACACCGGAAATCCCATGATAACACGGAGAACATCCACACACACAGAACCCTGGTGGAGACTTGAGCCCAGGTGCCAGAGGTGAGGCGACAGTGTGAATCACTGTGCCACCCCATTATGCTAAACCATTGATTGATTTTAAATATTTTCAGTATATCTCAGTATTGCAGCTGCTTGATTGGCAGAGATCATGATTGATGGTTAAAAAAAGCACATTCCAATCAGCACTGGCACTGGCAATTCTTGCTTCAGTTCCATTCAGCCTCAGATTTTTTTTTTTTTTGGGGGGGGACCTCTGAAGGACTGCTATACAGCTGTTGAAATGTTTTGGTGTTCAGACTGGGTCACTTTTCTAAATTTTATTTTCTGGTAGTGGGCAGCTAATATAAGAATCTATCTCTTTGTTTGGGACCCTCCAGTTGCCCTTCTTATTTTACCTGTATATTACGGAACCTTTTGCCAGATGGAAGGAGGGAGAAGAGGGTGTGGGAGGGTGTGTGGGATTGTCCACAATGCGGGTGGCTTTGCGGATGCAACAGATGGGAGAGAGACAGGGTTCCCGCGGGGTCTTAAAAAGTCTAAAATTCAGAAAGTTAAATTTAAGGCCTTAAAATGTCTTAAAAATGCCCAGATTTTCATCCTATTTCATCCTTAAATTCAATATACCCAAGTCTTAAAATTCTTACCTACGTTCATTCCCAAAAAGCGTTGTCCGCAGAAAATAAAATAGTAAATCGCTGTAAAACTAATCTGTTGGTTGTATTTTCTGGTCTGCACCGGTGTCTGCGTGGTAATAAAACTACAAATCCCATCGCGTGATCACTGCAGCTAGGCAGTTTGAGAAGGGTCTGGCTGCAGAACGTGCACTTTCAGGCACTGACGTCAGGTGCACGCTCAGCTACAACAGGAAGTGCAGGGGAATCATGCGCTAACTTAGTTCTTGAGGCCAATGTGAACGGTATGTTGTTTTATTATTTGTATTACTGAATGACATAGTTACAAGTTTGTTTCATGCCATACATTATTGCAATGCAAATGTTTTGATGTAACTTTTTTCTCTGATGACTGGAGTGAATTTTTTCAGTTAAAAGGCAGCTACTAGCCAGTTGGCTAACGTTATCTTAAATTATAATTAAAATAAACACATTTCTACTTTTGCAGAGCTTTTCATGGAGTTACCTTGTGAATGTCTTAGTTTCCAGCATATATATTTTAGTTGTTCGTGTGATCTTGAGGAGAATGTTTCTCGGTCTCCTTATTGTAAGGCAAGTTTTTATTATCATACACAGGGGTTATTTAATATGCTTTACAAAAACAAAAAAAAAAGTTAAACCAAGACAAAAAAAGCAAAATAGAGATGAAAAAAAAACTTATTTGTATAAAAATTGCTTAGAAAATCTAAAAAATCTGATTAAAAGTTCAGTATGTCCTGCCCCGCTCGTCCGCTCCTCCTGTGTGCCACGCCCCCTCGTTAACCCTGTGTAGATTCCCCGTGTTTATCAGCTGTTTCCAGTTGTTTTCATTATCGTTGATGGGTCTGGAACATAACTTCCGTGATAGGTGGGGGATCACTTAAACTATAAAAAGTTTATGTATATGGTCATTCTATATCGTGGATTTTCACCTATGGCTGATGGGTCTGGATCCCCTGCCTATCGCGGAAGTTACGTTCCAGACCCATCAGCAATAGGTGAAAATCTGCGATATAGAAAGACCATGTACATAAGCTTTTTATAGTTTAAGCCTTAAAATACCACTCCCACATGCTTTAAACACATGTGAACTTATTAAAACGCATTTTGTAAACACATATGATATGTGGATGTTGGGCTAAGGATATGAGATATGAGATATGACATAAAATATGAGAAATTCTGGTATCATTCGAATGTTTCTAGTAATGCATCGAGTGCATTTTACTCATAATGGTCTTAAAATGTCTTAAAAAGGTCTTAAATTTAACTTACTGAAACCTGCAAGAACCCTGGAGAGACCCCAATGATCTTTTCAGCTGTCCTCACTATCCTCTGTAGGGTCTTGTGATCCAAAATGGAGCAATACCCATACCAAGAGTGATGCAGATGTACAGAATATTCTCTATAGTCTCTCTGTAGAACGTGGTGAGTTCATGTGCTTGTCATCTCCCCCCTGCTCCCCGTTTGTGTCTCAAATTTTACTGTATTTGACTCTCCCTGCCGGCCCCTGGAGGATGGGCTCCCCCTTTGAGTCTGGTCCCTCCCAAGGTTTCTTCCTTCTCGGGAGTTTTCGCCTATGGCTTACTCACTGGGGGCTTTGGGTGGGGATGTTGTAAAGCGCTTTGAGACGATGTAATGTTGTGATAATGCGCTATACAAAAATGAATTTGTTGTTGTTGTTGATTGGGGGGGAGTCTCCGCGGGGAGTAGAGACGCTGTTGGGTCTTCTTGGCAATGGAGCTGGTATTGAGGGTCCATGTACAGTTCTCCGTGATCTGAACACCAAGGAACTCTGGACCATCTCCACTGATCGCCTCGTCGTTCGATCAGACCCACTTCAGTTTCTCATCAGCAAATCTGATGATTTGGTTTGAGCTGTGCATTGCTGGACTGTCATGGGTCAACAGCGTGAATAGCAGAGGGCTGAGCACACAGCCCTGGGGGATCCCTGTGCTCAGTGTAGTGGTACTGGAGACATTCCCAATCCTGACTGACTGAGGTCTCCCAGTTAGGAAGTCTTGGATTCAGTTGCAGAGGGAGGTGTTCAGGCCCAGTAGTCTCAGCTTTCCGATCAGCTGCTGAGGAATGATTGTGTTGAATGCTGAACTTAAATCTATGAACAGCATTCTCACATAAGTGTCTTTTTTGTCCTGGTGGGTGAGGGCCAGGTGAAGTTAATGTCATCATCCGTTGAGCCGTTGGAACAATATGCAAACTTCAGGAGATCCAGTGAAGGGGGCAGCTGTGATTTCATGTGCCTCATCACGAGTCTCTTGAAGCACTTAATGATGGTGCGATAATCAGTAATCATTGAGGCAGGACACTGGCGACTTCTTGATGGTGATGATGGTGGTGGCTTTGAAGCATATTGGAATGACTGTGGTGCTCAGAGAGATATTGAAGATGTCAGTGAGGACATCTGCCAGGTGGTCTGCACATCCCCTGAGCACACAACCAGGAATGTTATCTGACCCAGTGGCCTTCTGTGGGTTGACTCTGAAAATAGTTCTCCTCACATCAGCCATGGCCAGGCGGAACACATGATTTTTGGGAGGCAGGGTAGTCTTCCTTGCAGCTGTGTCATTCTGTGCTTCAGACCATAATCAGAAGTAATTCAGCGCATCTTGAAGGGAGGCCTCACCATCACAGGCAGGTGGAGATGTCTGTTGGTGTTAATCTAACAAAAAATGTCAGTGAATATTCTTTTGAGCTAAGTAGACAGTTATAATCAAAAAAATATGTTGCTATCGAACTGAATATACTTTAATAATCTAATAAAACATGTTGGATATATTATCAAGCTAACTGTAAACAATTTTTGAATGAAAAAACACACCTTGTCAAAAACATTTATGAACTTATTCTATTGATGTAAATGCTTGCTGTCATGGTAATGGTAAACTTTGGGAAAAAATAAATCATTATATACGGCGAAATCGCCAGAATCTTAAAAAGTACCATTATACAAATTTTTGGTCATACTGCCCAGCACTAACAATGCAGGTGATGGGGCTATCCGAGGAATACAATGCTGTCATTTTGACAGCCCCCCCTTTCTATTTATTAATGTCTGTGATTGGTGGGCTAGTGCTTATACTACGCTTATTTTTTATTATTGTTAATGACTGTGTTAGCATTAGGCTTGCATATTGTTGCATATGTTGTTAGTTATAATTTGTGTAAAAAAATACTAAGTCATATTAAGTTAAATTGTTTCTTGTTTTAGAAGAGAATCAAAAGATCCATTTCAAAACACCACACCCCAGAGGCTTTTGAAGAGTACTATCAAAGGTATTCATTTTCTGTTTTTATTGGCAACTTAATGGTATTTTTCAATTTACATGCTATCTTCCACCTGCTAATATTCTGGAATTATTTAATTGCTAATAAGACAATATGTATATTGTAACCTATAATTTTTATAGATGTAATTTAAAGGGACGGAAAAGTAGTTTAACTAGCTTTTTAATCTTTGGAAACTGTGTGAGGTGATGGCAGTGAAGCCTAGTAAAATGAAAGGTTTGAGCAACTGTTTAATTTTGGACAAAAAGCTATGATTAAAACATCCAGCATTTTTGGTTTAAAATATCTATCAGTTGTCAGAGCTTCACATCCTATATTACTAGTTTGGCAAGTTTAATGTTTCATTATCTTTTTGTATTGTCTAAATACACAGTTATGAAATTGATGTTATTTTTTTTTTCATTTTGAAGTTACATGAACCAAATGAAGATGTGTCCTTCATCCCAAGTCCTGTTCAGTTTGGCTAATAAGGTAATTTTTCTGTTTTCATATATTGGCAGCAAATTTTGCTGCAAAAAGTTTGATGTTTCAAAGCATCTACAAGCCTCTAAGTAAATTCCCTGAAAATAAACTTCTGTCTATTAATTAAAAAATGTGTGATGCATGGCTTGGAGGGCATTAATCCACTTATACCACAGTTACCACACATATGATTTACATGTTTATATTGGAAGATATTATTTTCACATTTATGAACTGAAAACACATTTATTAGTAAGAATACTTTTTTGGTTTGGGCGGGATTAAGGTACTGTGGCATACCGTGGTATTTTCTTTCGCTGAAACTGAATCTTACCACCATGCATGCTCAATTTGCCAAGATTTCAGAATACCATATATCGTGGTATAATGTCTAGACAGTACCGTATACAAATTATTTTGCCTTTGTACAACCCAAGCCACTGTATTTAATTCAAAAGTAGTCTGTTGCTTAAAACAATTCAGTTGTTAGTTTGGAAATTGCCTGCCACTACGCCCAAAAGCTAGTCTTTACAAAGTTGTAAGCAAAATATATATTGACTGTGGAATTCAGGCATAGTTTTATTAATTTGGCTTTATATACCTCATAGTGTTGTTCTGCAATATGGATGAACCAGACTTAGGTTAAACAGGTAATATAAGTGATTTGTAGTAATTTCTTTGGTAATTTCAGAAATAAAGATGATGATTGCACATTCATTTGCTACATATTGGTTCATGTGTTGGGTTATAGGAAAATCAACATCTTTCAAATTTGAGACTCAACAGTGCTGTAGTATAAGCACAATTAATATACTGTATTATGAAGTTACAAATATTTAAATGAGTCTATTGGTCAGGTTAAGCCACCAGCAGAATTTTCACCATTAATTATTTAGTTTGTTTTCAGTCTGATGTGTATCACAACTTAGTTTTCTTTTCACTTGTGTGCTGATGACATTCGGTTATGTTTGTCTTTCATACCAAACCGACTTGCCAGGTTGTCCACCCTAGTTGACTGCTTATCACAGATAAGAGGGGCTCTCTAATTACTACCTCTATTTAAAATCCAGTAAAACTGAAACCACGATTATAGCTTCTCTTGAATTTTACCCAAAAATTAGTCAAGCGCTTGCCTCGTTTTGTACAACTGCCAAGTCCAGGGTTTGAAATCTGGGAGTAATATTTGTTTCCTCTTTGACTCTTGATTCGAATATAAAATCAGTCTCACGTTCTTGTTGCTTTCATTTAAGGAACATTTCCAAATTGTGACCTATTGTTTCATTGGCTGAACAGGCAAAAATTGTTCATGTATTTGTTTAATCGTGTTTAGATTACTGTAATGCTTTGTTTATTGGCTTAGATAAATCATCTGTTTTACATTTATAAACAATACAAAAATGCAGTGGCCAGGTTGCTAACGTGTGCTAGTAAGCACGCTCATATTACCCCCGTTTTATATTCTTTATGTTGGCTCGTGAATTTTAGGATTCATTTTAAAATTCTTGTAGTTAGATGTAGAGAACTAAATGGTCAAGCACCAGTGTATTTATCTAGTCGTCTTCTCAAACATACTGTTTCTTGTGCTCTTCGATCTCAGGCTCATAATTTGTTAGTTGTTCTCAACACAAGATTAAAGACTAGGGGAGATACAGCCTTTCAGTCTGTGGTTCTTAGGCTTTGGAATAATCTCCCACTACAATTACATTTGGCAGACTCCATGGATACGTTTTAAAAAACAGTTAAAAACTTTCTTGTTTAAATCAGTCTTTTGTTTTGATTTATATTGGTACTAACTGTATTATAATACTCTGTTATCAGTTATTTTAATGTGTGTCTTAAATTAAGGAGTAAACAAGAAACATTATTTTGTTGTACAGCGCTTTATGATGACGTCTTTGAATGGTGTTTTATATATAAACCTCACTTACTTACAACTTACAACTGATGAATATGTATTTTATACATATTTAGTGTATTGTAAGGAGAGTGTTCTTTGACAAACATCATCCCATTTACTTTATTTAGCTACATCTGGGGTCTCCTGCCCCCTGGACTGGTTTGGGTGCCACTGGTTTAAACGGATGTCTTACTATGTACTTGTTGAAGGGTTATTTACATTAACATTATACACTCACCTAAAGGATTATTAGGAACACCTGTTCAATTTCTCATTAATACAATTATCTAATCAACCAATCACATGGCAGTTGCTTCAATGCATTTAGGGGTGTGGTCCTGGTCAAGACAA